AAACTATTTTGTTTTGCTTACATTGAGGGAAAGGTTGTTGTCATGACACCACAATGCAAGTTCCCTTTCCTCCTCCCAAAAGGCTGACTCGTCATTGTCGGTTATCAGGCCTACAATCGTGGTGTCGTCATCAAACTTGATGATGTAATTGGTGTCGTGCAAAGCCACGCGGTCGTGGGTGAACAGGGAGTACAGCAGAGGACTGAGGACACACCTTTGGGGGGGGGGGGGGGGGGGGGGGGGCGTGTTAAGAGTCAGCGGTCTGCCCGTCAGGAAGTCCAGGATCCCAGTTGCAGAGGGTGGTGTCCAGACCCAGGGGCTCTGAGCTTGGTGTCCAGCTTGGAGGGAACAACAGTGTTGAATGCTGAACTGTAGTCGATGAACAGCATTCTCACATAACTGTTCCTCTGGTCCGGGTGTGCTACGGCCGTGTTAATAGCGATGGAAATGGCATCTTCTGTGGATCTGTTGGAGCGGTGGGCAGATTGGAGTGGGTCCAGTGAGCCTGGTATGCTGCCCTCGATGTGGGTCATGACCAGCCTCTCCAAGCGCTTCCTGATGTAGGTGAGAGCGACGGGGCAATAGTCATTTGGGCATGTCACCTTGTTTTTCTTGGCACTGGGACGATGGCGGTCTCCTTAAAGCAGGTGGGGACTACAGCCTGGGACAGGTTGAAGATGTCAGTACACACTCTGAGGACGCGGCCGGCTTCGTGACTCTTTTGAGAGTTTTTCTCACTTCAGCCTCGGAGAGTGAAAGCACCTGGTCGTCCGGAGCAGCGAGATTCTTCCTGGGTGGCTCTGTATTGCCTGCCTCGAAGCGAGCGTAGAATGTGTTAAGCTCGTCTAGGAGGGAGGCTTTAGTGGGCAGCTGGATTTGCCTTTATAGTCTGTGATAGTCTGTAGTCCTTGCCACATGCGTCGCGAGTCTGAGTTGTTGAACATCAATTCAAGATTGAGTCTGTATTGTCTTTTTGCTAATGGATTTGCGGAGCTCGTACCTGCTTGCCTTGTAAGCGTCGGGCACCACATAGTCATTGGGGTTCATTCTGCTGACATTGAATGCTGCAGTACGGGCTCTCAGCATTGTACGGATGTCTCCGTTCATCCAGGGTTTTTGGTTGGGGTTTGTCCGGATTGTTATTGTGGGTACAACATCATCAACACATTTCCTGATGAAGCCTGTGACTGACGATGTATAGTCTTCAATGTGGATGGATGAGTCCTGAGTGGATGAATCTTTGAAAATAATCCAATCAGTATTCTCAAAACTGTCCTGAAGCATTGAGTCTGCCTCCTCTGTCCAGCGCCTCACTATTCTCTGTGTTGGAGGCTCCCTCTAGAATTGCTGATTTTAGGTGGGGAGTAAGAACAGAGAGACGTGATCTGATTGGCCGAAGTGGGGGCGGGGGATGGCTTTGTACGTGTCACGGATGTTTGTGTATATATGGTCAAGCACGCTGGATCCTCCTGTGGGGCAGGATACATGTTGGTGATATTTTGGGAAAATCTGCCTCTCCGTCTGTCCGTCAGTCTCCGTATGTCTGTCTGTATGCATGTATGTCTGTCAGTCAGTCAGTCTGTCACCCTTTCTCTGTCTATCCCCTAACTGTACCTAGCCTCAGCTCTGCTCCAATCACATCCCATCCAGAAAAAGAGAGAGGTGATAGAGTGATGGTGGTGGGTAGAAAAAGGTCAGAAGAGATGAGAGTGAGAGAGAGAGAGAGGAGAGATAGAGAAGAGAGAGAATAGAGAGAGAGAGAGAGAGAGAGAGAGAAGCAGCGCGCGGACGAGGACGTCTTCTCATCGCCTTCACTGCGATCTCCTCGCTCCTCTCTTCGCGCTGCCTCTCGGCATCTCTCTCTGCTCCTCTCATCTCTTCTCTCGCCTTTTCTCGCGCTCCTCGTGCGCGTCTTCTCGTCGCGTCGGGGGAAATTTTCCCTCCCCTCCCTCCCCCCCTTCCTCTCATCTTCTCTTCCCCTTCCTCCTCTCTCTCCTCCTCTCTTTTGCTCTCCTCTCTCTTTCTTATTTTTTTCCATCTACCTTATTTCCCTTTTTTTTTCATATCTTTTTTTTTAAAAATTTTAATTTTTCATTTTTCTTTGGTTGGCTGTTTCCTTTGGTTTTTTTAAAGTTGGTGCTTTTGTTGATTTTGAAACAATTGGTGGGTGGCCAAGTTGAAAATGTTTTTTATAAGAAAGGGTTTGGTCTTTTTTTTTTTAACCATTCTCCTGGTTTTTCGAAAACTTTGAAAAGGGGGAAAACTTGGGGTTTTTTTTTTTCCAAAAACAATAAAAACCCTAGCGATTAAAAATGGAAAATTAAAAAATGGAAATTTTTTCCCCAACCGTTAAAACCCCTTTCCCCCTTTTAAAAAAAAAAAGAAGCACTTTTTTTGGGGGGGGGGGTGGGGCGTCGTCCCTGCCTCAGGGAGAGGGTTGTTTCAGATCAAATCAGATGGTCTCCTCTCTTCCTCGCTCTCCAACACAGTCTCTCTCATTCTCTCTCATCTCTCTCTCTCTCCTCTCTGCTCCTTCTCCTCTCTCTCTCTCTCTCTCTCTCTCTCTCTCTTCTTTCTCTCACATACACTATCCCATGGTTTTCTTATTTTAATAATTTTAGTCAGACAATCATATTGGTTGGATTAGACAGAAATGGTGTCTGTTGTCATGTTGTATTCCCTCAACACTGTCTCGGTTGCTGTGTCTCTCAGGTGAGATTTTTAATATCCAGTCTCTGCTTTGGGTTTGTCTGCTAATATGAAAGACAGATTGTGGATCGGGTTGGACGAAAAGAGAATATAGGGAGGACTGTTTTTTTTTTTTTCTGTTATAAGTACATACATGCAGTAGCGGTGCATAGTGGGTAAAATCACTGGTGAAACCATATTACAACCTATGTGTTGTGATAATTGCGTTTGTTTGCTCTATAACCTGTTAGTTCATATGCCTTGCGACCGTGATATATAGGCCTAAAGGCCGAGACAATAAGAAGACACAGTGGCAGAATAAATTCAACCACACCTTTGTTTTATCACAAAACCGGATAACAACCTCTTTCCAGTGAAGTCCACAAAGCATATAGCATGTAACACACAGTTACATGACCTACATCATGGTCAAGCAAGTTAATGGTTCCGACATTATCGGACCACTAAACAACTATTGATTTAGAACCACAGAGAGTTACCGCAATTCACAAAGAAAACAGGAGCTGCCTCCACTATTCCAACACCATTTCTACTTCAACATTTCAACATCATCAAATCACCGCTGCTTAGTCTAATACAGTGACAACTAAAAGATAATATTTGTTTTGGGTCCAATCAAAGTAAACTAAATATGATGTAGCTTTCCATGGTTCTGATTTCTGTGTGCGTGTGTGCATGTTCGTGTGCGTTCGTGAAAGTAGAAAACATGTTGACTCACCCTACTTGTAGAGAAATGCTAATGCCATCCTCCTCTCTTTCATGTTGACGTAACGGTCTATCACTCTGTCATACAGCACACGCTTGTATTTTCTGTTGTCCTAGACGACTTGGCTAAAATGCTTTCTCGCTAGCCTAACTTCCATTTATGGGCAACATTAGATAGTTAACATTAGCCTTCTACATTTAGCTACATATTTAATTTCCATCCTATCAGGCCAGGGGCACAACGATGTATGAATTAATGGTTGGATCAGAATCGCCATTATAATAATTGGCCAGTACGGAGAATTAAGTAAAACCCTATCTCCATCCATGGCTAATTTAGGAAAGGGCCTATTTTAGCTAGCTGGCTAGTTAGCCACCGATGGACAACAGCACAACGAGATGCAACAATTCAAGTTTTTCTGTCAATGACGCATGCTCTCAATGGGATTTTAAAGGAGTGACGCCAAATCCAAACTGGCTTCCCTTGACGCTTTTTTTGTGGTGCGCCAGGACCATTCAAAGTTGAGCTCGCTCAGTTTAGCTCAACACTGATTGACACATTTTTTATAATTTTTTTGTCAAGGGAAGCCAGATGCTCGCTGGCTTCCCTTGCCTTCAATGCTACGGGCGGCAACAATGTCATACTGGTTTGGACCAGACAGCATCAGATAGATGGCCTACACGTAGAGAGACAGAGGGGGCGCTGTTTCACTCGCTCAGATGCTTTCTCCTGTTAGATACAGGAAGCCTCTTGTAAATTCAAGGAAAATGATCAAAGATAGAGAGACAAAATATAAAATATTGTTTTTCTTTCTTTTTTTTGGTGTGTGTGTGGGGGGGGGGGGGGGGCATCCCTTGGCAGCCATGAATACCCACCACTGCATTCATGGTATCAAAGGGCTGCTTCACTTCTGTTATAAATACATGGTATCAAAGGGCTGTTTCACTTCTGTTATAAATACATGTTATCAAAGGGCTGCTTCACTTCTGTTATAAATACATGGTATCAAAGGGCTGCTTCACTTCTGTTATAAATACATGGTATCAAAGGGCTGCTTCACTTCTGTTATAAATACATGGTATCAAAGGGCTGCTTCACTTCTGTTATAAATACATGGTATCAAAGGGCTGCTTCACTTCTGTTAAAAATACATGGTATCAAAGGGCTGCTTCACTTCTGTTATAAATACATGGTATCAAAGGGCTGCTTCACTTCTGTTATAAATACATGGTATCAAAGGGCTGCTTCACTTCTGTTATAAATACATGGTATCAAAGGGCTGCTTCACTTCTGTTATAAATACATGGTATCAAAGGGCTGCTTCACTTCTGTTATAAATACATGGTATCAAAGGACTGCTTCACTTCTGTTATAAATACAAGGTATCAGAGGGCTGCTTCACTTCTGTTATAAATACATGGTATCAAAGGGCTGCTCATTGGAAACAAGATAGAATAGAACAAAAACAAAATGGAGAATAATATGTATTAAAAAAACTGTACACCTGAAAGACTGCAACAAATAAACAAAATAATAGTTTTTGATCAAGAGAAGACCGTGGTTAGATGGATCACACAGAGAAGACATGTTAGATGGATCACACAGAGAAGACAGGTTAGATGGATCACACAGAGAAGACAGGTTAGATGGATCACACAGAGAGGACAGGTTAGATGGATCACACAGAGAAGACAGGTTAGATGGATCACACAGAGAAGACAGGTTAGATGGATCACACAGAGAAGACAGGTTAGATGGATCACACAGAGAAGACAGGTTTGATGGATCACACAGAGAAGACAGGTTAGATGGATCACTCAGAGAAGACAGGTTAGATGGATCACACAGAGAAGACAGGTTAGATGGATCACACAGAGAAGACAGGTTAGATGGATCACACAGAGAAGACAGGTTAGATGGATCACACAGAGAAGACAGGTTAGATGGATCACACAGAGAAGACAGGTTAGATGGATCACACAGAGAAGACAGGTTAGATGGATCACACAGAGGAGACAGGTTAGATGGATCACACAGAGAAGACAGGTTAGATGGATCACACATAGAAGACATGTTAGATGGATCACACAGAGAAGACAGGTTAGATGGATCACACAGAGAAGACATGTTAGATGGATCACACAGAGAAGAGAGGTTAGATGGATTTTTTTTTTATTTTTTTTTATTTAACCTTTATTTAACCAGGTAAGCCAGTTGAGAACAAGTTCTCATTTACAACTGCGACCTGGCCAAGATAAAGCAAAACAGTGTGATAAAAACAACAACCCAGAGTTACATATGGGGTAAACAAAACATAAAGTCAAAAATACAACAGAAAATATATATACAGTGTCTGCGAATGTAGTAAATTATGGAGGTAAGGCAATAAATAGGCCATAGTGCAAAATAATTACAATTTAGTATTAACACTGGAATGACAAAATATATTGTGCAAATAGAGATACTGGGGTGCAAATTAGCAAAATAAATAACAATATGGGGATGAGGTAGTTGGATGGGCTAATTACAGATGGGCTGTGTACAGGTGCAGTGATCTGTAAGCTGCTCTGACAACTGATGCGACGAATATGTAGTGAGGGCCAGCCAACAAGAGCGTACAGGTCACAATGGTGAGTAGTATATGGGGCTTTGGTGACAAAACGGATGGCACTGTGATAGACTACATCCAATTTGCTGAGTAGAGTGTTGGAGGCTATTTTGTAAATGACATCGCCAAAGTCAAGGATCGGTAGGATAGTCAGTTTTACAAGGGCATGTTTGGCAGCATGAGTGAAGGAGGCTTTGTTGCGAAATAGGAAGCCGATTCTAGATCTAACTTTTGATTGGAGATGCTTAATGTGAGTCTGGAAGGAGAGTTTACAGTCTAACCAGACACCTAGGTATTTGTAGTTGTCCACATACTCTAGGTCAGACCTGTCGAGAGTAGTGATTCTAGTCGGGCGGGCGGTTGCAAGCAGCGTTTGGTTGAAAAGCATGCATTTAGTTTTACTAGTGTTTAAGAACTTTCGAAAGGCAGGGCAGGATGGATATAGGTCTGTAACAGTTTGGATCTAGAGTGTCACCCCCTTTGAAGAGGGGGATGACCGTGGCAGCTTTCCAATCTCTGGGGATCTCAGACATTACGAAAGAGAGGTTGAACAGGCTAGTAATAGGGGTTGCAAAAATTTCGGCGGCTAATTTTAGAAAGAAAGGGTCCAGATTGTCTAGCCCAGCTGATTTGTAGGGGTCCAGATTTTTCAGCTCTTTCAGTACATCAGCTGTCTGAATTTGTGTGAAGGAGAAGCGGGGGGTGCATGGGCAAGTTGCAGCGGAGGGTGCAGAGCTGGTGGCCGGGGTAGTGGTAGCCAGGTGGAAAGCATGGCCAGCCGTAGCAAAATGCTTGTTGAAATTCTCGATTATTGTAGATTTATCAGTGGTGACAGTGTTTCCTAGCCTCAGTGCAGTGGGCAGTTGGGAGGAGGTGCTCTTATTCTCCATGGACTTTACAGTGTCCCAAAACGTTTTGGAGTTAGTGCTACAGGATGCAATTTTTCTCTTTGAAAAAGCTAGCCTTTGCTTTCCTAACAGATTGTGTATATTGGTTCCTGACTTCCCTGAAAAGTTGCATATCGCGGGGGCTGTTCGATGCTAATGCAGTACGCCACAGGATGTTTTTGTGCTGGTCAATGGCAGTCAAGTCTGAGTTGAACCAGGGGCTATATCTGTTCTTAGTTCTGATTTTTTTGAATGGGGCATGCTTATTTAAGATGGAGAGGAAAGCACTTTTAAGAACAACCAGGCATCCTCTACTGACGGAATGAGGTCAGTATCCATCCAGGATACCCGGGCCAGGTCAATTAGAAAGGCCTACTCGCTAAAGTGTTTTAGGGAGCGTTTGACAGTGATGGGGGGTGGTCGTTTGACCGTGGTACCCATTACGGACGCAGGCAATAAGGCAGTGATAGCTGAGATCCTGGTTGAAGACAGCGGAGGTGTATTTAGAGGGTACATTTGTCAGGATGATATCAATGAGGGTGCCCATGTTTACAGATTTTGGGTTGTACCTGGTAGGTTCGTTTTTTTTGGTGTGAGATTGAGGGCATCTAGTTTAGATTTTAGGTTGGCCGGGGAGTTAAGCATATCCCAGTTTAGGTCACCAAGCAGTATGAACTCTGAGGATAGATGGGGGGCAATCAGTTCACATATGGTGTCCAGGGCACACAGAGAAGACAGGCAAGATGGATAATTTACATTTACATTTTAGTCATTTAGCAACGCTCTATATCCAAGCGTTACAGTTAGTGAGTGCATACATTTTTAGACTGATCACACAGAGAAGACAAGGTTAATGTATCACAACGAGAGACGGTTAGAAGTGGATTACACAGAGAGAGACAGGGTGCCAGTATCACAGGGAATAGGAGGGTTAGATGGATCCAAAGATCAGACAGGTTGGGTTTGGACACAAGAGAAGACAGTTTAGAGGGCACACAGAGAAGAAGTTCGAGATCCAAATGGGAAAGACAGGGTTATATGGGTCACACAAGAAAGACAGGCAAGATGGATATTCACAGATTTAGCAGGTTGAGATGTATCCAAGATTGAAGGTTAGTGGATCAGAGAGCAACATGTTATATGGTTCACACAGAGAAGACAGGTTAGATGGATCACACAGAGAAAGACAGGTTAGATGGATCATACAGAGAAGACAGGTTAGATGGATCACACAGAGAAGACAGGTTAGATGGATCACACAGAGAAAACAGGTTAGATGGATCACACAGAGAAGACAAGTTAGATGGATTACAAAGAGAAGACAGGTTAGATGGATCACACAGAGATGAAGGTTAGATGGATCACACAGAGAAGATAGGTTAGATGGATCACTGAGCGAATACATTTTAGATGGATCACACAGAGACGACAGGTTAGATGGATCACACATAGAAGACAGGTTAGATGGATCACAAAGAGAAGATAGGTTAGATGGATCACACAGAGAAGACAGGTTAGATGGATCACACAGAGGAGACATGTTAGAAGGATAACACAGAGAAGACAAGTTAGATGGATCACAAAGAAAATACAGGTTAGATGGATCACACAGAGAAGACAGGTTAGATCAATCACACAGAGAAGACAGGTTAGATGGATCAATCAGAGAAGACAGGTTATATGGATCGACAGAGAAGACAGGTTAGATGGATCACTCATTGAAGACTGGTTAGATGGATCACACAGAGAAGACAGGTAAGATGGATCACACAGAGAAGACAGGTTAGATCAATCACACAGATAATACAGGTTAGATGGATCACACAGAGAAGACAGGTTAGATGGATCACACCGAGAAGACAGGTTAGATGGATCACACAGAGAAGACAGGTAGATGGATCACACAGAGAGAAGGACAGGTTAGATGGATTACAAAAAGAAAGACCTGTTAGATGGATCACACAGACAAGACAGGTTAGATAGATCACTCAGCAAAGACAGGTTAGATGGATCACACAGAGAAGACAGGTTTAGATGGATCAACAGAGAAGACAGGTTAGATGGATCACACAGAGAAGACAGGTTAGATGGATCACACAGAGAAGACAGGTTAGATGGATCACTCAGCGAAGACAGGTTAGATGGATCACACAGAGAAGACAGGTTAGATGGATCACACAGAGAAGACAGGTTAGATGGATCACACAGAGAAGACAGGTTAGATAGATCACACAGAGAAGACAGGTTAGATGGATCACACAGAGAAGACAGGTTAGATGGATCACACATAAAAGACAGGTTAGATGGATCACACAGAGAAGAGAGGTTAGATGGATCACACAGACTTGTCCTCTGTAGCTCAGCTGGTAGAGCACGGCGCTTGTAACGCCAAGGTAGAGGGTTCGATCCCCGGGACCACCCATACACAAACATGTATGTACACATGACTGTAAGTCGCTTTGGATAAAAGCGTCTGCTAAATGGCATATTATTATTATTATAGACGGATTACACAGAGAAGACATGTTAGATGGATCACACAGAGAAGACATGTTAGATGGATCACACAGAGAAGACAGGTTAGATGGATCACACAGAGAAGAGAGGTTAGATGGATCACACAGAGAAGACATGTTAGATGGATCACACAGAGAAGAGAGGTTAGATGGATCACACAGAGAAGACAGGTTAGATGGATCACACAGAGAAGAGAGGTTAGATGGATCACACAGAGAAGACAGGTTAGATGGATCACACAGAGAAGACATGTTAGATGGATCATACAGAGAAGACAGGTTAGATGGATTACAAAGAGAAGACAGGTTAGATGGATCACAAAGAGAAGACAGGTTAGATGGATCACACAGAGGAGACATGTTAGATGGATCACACAGAGGAGACATGTTAGATGGATCACACAGACAGGTTCGATGGATCACACAGAGAAGACAGGTTAGATCAATCACACAGATAATACAGGTTAGATGGATCACACAGAGAAGACAGGTTAGATGGATCACACCGAGAAGACAGGTTAGATGGATCACACAGAGAAGACAGGTTAGATGGATCACACAGAGAAGACAGGTTAGATGGATTACAAAAAGAAGACATGTTAGATGGATCACACAGACAAGACAGGTTAGATAGATCACTCAGCAAAGACAGGTTAGATGGATCACACAGAGAAGACAGGTTAGATGGATCACACAGAGAAGACAGGTTAGATGGATCACACAGAGAAGACAGGTTAGATGGATCACACAGAGAAGACAGGTTAGATGGATCACTCAGCGAAGACAGGTTAGATGGATCACACAGAGAAGACAGGTTAGATGGATCACACAGAGAAGGACAGGTTAGATGGATCACACAGTAGAAGACAGGTTAGATAGATCACACAGAGAAGACAGGTTAGATGGATTCACACAGAGAAGACAGGTTAGATGGATCACACATAGAAGACAGGTTAGATGGATTCACACAGAGAAGAGAGGTTAGATGGATCACACAGACTGGTCCTCTGAGCTCAGCTGGTAGAGCACGGCGCTTGTAACGCCAAGGTTAGAGGGTTCGATCCCCGGGACCACCCATACACAAACATGTATGTACACATGACTGTAAGTCGCTTTGGATAAAAGCGTCTGCTAAATGGCCATATTATTATTATTATAGACGGATTACACAGAGAAGACATGTTAGATGGATCAACAGAGAAGACATGTTAGATGGATCACACAGGAAGACAGGTTAGATGGATCACACAGAGAAGAGAGGTTAGATGGATCACACAGAGAAGACATGGTTAGATGGATCACACAGAGAAGAGAGGTTAGATGGATCACACAGAGAAGACAGGTTAGATGGATCACACAGAGAAGACAGGTTAGATGGATCACACCGAGAAGACAGGTTAGATGGATCACACAGAGAAGACAGGTTAGATGGATCACACAGAGAAGACAGGTTAGATGGATCACACAGAGAAGACAGGTTAGATGGATTACAAAAAGAAGACATGTTAGATGGATCACACAGACAAGACAGGTTAGATAGATCACTCAGCAAAGACAGGTTAGATGGATCACACAGAGAAGACAGGTTAGATGGATCACACAGAGAAGACAGGTTAGATGGATCACACAGAGAAGACAGGTTAGATGGATCACACAGAGAAGACAGGTTAGATGGATCACTCAGCGAAGACAGGTTAGATGGATCACACAGAGAAGACAGGTTAGATGGATCACACAGAGAAGACAGGTTAGATGGATCACACAGAGAAGACAGGTTAGATAGATCACACAGAGAAGACAGGTTAGATGGATCACACAGAGAAGACAGGTTAGATGGATCACACATAGAAGACAGGTTAGATGGATCACACAGAGAAGAGAGGTTAGATGGATCACACAGACTGGTCCTCTGTAGCTCAGCTGGTAGAGCACGGCGCTTGTAACGCCAAGGTAGAGGGTTCGATCCCCGGGACCACCCATACACAAACATGTATGTACACATGACTGTAAGTCGCTTTGGATAAAAGCGTCTGCTAAATGGCATATTATTATTATTATAGACGGATTACACAGAGAAGACATGTTAGATGGATCACACAGAGAAGACATGTTAGATGGATCACACAGAGAAGACAGGTTAGATGGATCACACAGAGAAGAGAGGTTAGATGGATCACACAGAGAAGACATGTTAGATGGATCACACAGAGAAGAGAGGTTAGATGGATCACACAGAGAAGACAGGTTAGATGGATCACACAGAGAAGAGAGGTTAGATGGATCACACAGAGAAGACAGGTTAGATGGATCACACAGAGAAGACATGTTAGATGGATCATACAGAGAAGACAGGTTAGATGGATTACAAAGAGAAGACAGGTTAGATGGATCACAAAGAGAAGACAGGTTAGATGGATCACACAGAGGAGACATGTTAGATGGATCACACAGAGGAGACATGTTAGATGGATCACACAGACAGGTTCGATGGATCACACAGAGAAGACATGTTAGATGGATCACACAGACAGGTTCGATGGATCACAAAGATAAGACATGTTAGATGGATCACACAGAGAAGACACGTTAAATGGATCACACAGAGAAGACATGTTAGATGGATCACACAGAGAAGAGAGGTTAGATGGATCACACAGAGAAGAGAGGTTAGATGGATCACACAGAGAAGACAGGTTAGATGGATCACACAGAGAAGACAGGTTAGATGGATCACACAGAGAAAACAGGTTAGATGGATCACACAGAGAAGACAGGTTAGATGGATCACACAGAGAAGACATATTAGATGGATCACACAGAGAAGACAGGTTAGATGGATCACACAGAGAAAACAGGTTAGATGGATCACACAGAGAAGACAGGTTAGATGGATCACACAGAGAAGACATATTAGATGGATCACACAGAGAAGACAGGTTAGATGGATCACATAGAGAAGCCAGGTTAGATTGATCACATAGAGAAGCCAGGTTAGATGGATCACACAGAGAAGACAGGTTAGATGGATCACACAGAGAAGACAGGTTAGATGGATCACACAGAGAAGCCAGGTTAGATGGATCACTCAGAGAAGACAGGTTAGATGGATCACAAAGAGGAGACAGGTTAGATGGATCACAAAGAGGAGACAGGTTAGATGGATCACAAAGAGGAGACAGGTTAGATGGATCACAAAGAGGAGACAGGTTAGATGGATCACAAAGAGGAGACAGGTTAGATGGATCACAAAGAGGAGACAGGTTAGATGGATCACAAAGAGGAGACAGGTTAGATGGATCACAAAGGTTAGATGGATCACAAGAGGAGACAGGTTAGATGGATCACAAAGAGGAGACAGGTTAGATGGATCACAAAGAGGAGACAGGTTAGATGGATCACAAAGAGGAGACAGGTTAGATGGATCACAAAGAGGAGACAGGTTAGATGGATCACAAAGAGGAGACAGGTTAGATGGATCACAAAGAGAAGACAGGTTAGATGGATCACAAAGAGGGTCAATACATATCTGCTGGGCTGGGTTTCCTTTACGTCCCAAATGGCACCCTATTTCCTCCATAGTGCACTACTTTGATAGGGTACCATTTGGGAAGCAGAATGATCAGTATTGGATGGTGTGTCCTGTTCTGTCCTCACAGGGACATTGTTTAAGTGACCAGGGGAGGGAGACTAACACACAACACACACACACACACACTGCTACACACACACACACAGACACAGACACACACAAACTCACACACACACAGAGGAAATGATCCTTGAGACTGTACGTTTCCTAGCAGCTTCAGCTGCATGTTAGATCGATGAAAACTATGTTTCTTTATAACCATAATAACTAATAATTGCTTGTGCACTGTCATACAGACAGGACCAGAGAGCATAACAATGATCTCACACACACACACACATCGGGACCAGGATCTGCTGTGTGTGTGTATGTGTGTGTGTGTGTGTGTGTGTGTGTGTGGGTGTGTGTGCATGTCTGCTTGCCTGTGTGTCTTACAAAAACCTGAATACACTCCCAGAGACTCATTGCAGTATATTTGTATGCAGTGAGGTGATTTCTGATGAATCAGTGAAAACAACGCTGTGTATTTACGGTCAACACTGAGATCTAGTTTAATAGATGGCTATGACCTAATGTCCTCTGACACACACACACACACACACACACACACCACACACACACACACACACACACACACACACACACACACACACACACACACAGCAGATCCTGGTCCCGTGTCATTGTTATGCTGCTGATATCCTCTCTGGTCGTCTCTATGACAGTCTCTCATCGGGAATACCTCGCAGAAGTATCGCTGAATCCTGCGTCCTGCAAGAGCACAAAGGCTAGAAATGAAGAACGAAATAACAGTTAAACCCCCACCCGAGAAAAACGCTCGCCGCTCTGGGGAGCCTGTCTCGCGTGTATCGCTCCGTTCCATCCGCTCCCAGCTATCAGAAATGCGGCAGGATCGAATCAGGACCACGCTTTGCTCAACAGTCAGATCGTATACACGATGCCTCGCACCCGACTAACCCCCTCACCCACCACCCAACCACCCCCCAGCTCCGCCTCGTCAGTGCACTCCAGTCTGTCCTGCGAGCACCGCCCTCCGCCCACGCGCGTCCCTCTGCAACAGAGCCGACAGGACAGCGGACGCTAAAACATACTCCAGAGGCGGCGGAGAGGTTGACCCTCGACCCCACGCCCGTGCCACCCGATCTCACTCCAACGCCCATGAACTCCACGAACATCTCTCTCCAGCCTCACTCCCTCCTCTCTCTCGATCTCTCACCCATCTCTCTCTCTCATCTCTGTCTCGCTCTGATCTGCTTTTTTTTCTCATCTACATCCTACTCTCTCTTCTCTCTCTCTCTCTCTCTCTCTCTCTCTCTATCTCTCTCTTCTCTCTCTCCTCTCTCCTCTCTCTTCTCTCTCTCTCTCTGTCTCTCTCTCATTCCATTTCTACTCCTGCTTAACTCAGTGACCTAGGTATTGGCAGTATTGGTGGTCAGGGTATTGTGTATTGGCAGGTGTTTTCCAGGAATGATTAATTATTCTAGTTCAAGGTTTTTTGTCCCCCAGCAACAGGGGATTAGATAAACCTCCCCAACAGCAGGTCAAATAATTTTCTGAATTTAAACAATGCTATGTACAAGATTCAAAATTCTCGTCATGAGTGGAAAAATGGAATGCTCATATGGGCTAACATGGCGTCCGTATGAATATGCTAATGAAATTATTGACACATTGTTATTTCCAAACCACAAGTTAGTGTTAACCCTCCCTGTGTCACTGAATGCCTTTTAACACAGTTTGTATACTTTTTTGGTGAAAGACTAAATATTTATGTTTTAATTTATTTTATTTATTATCGTCTGCTTTCCAGTAACCATTTTCCGTTCTTCAATTTTTCAAACTTTAAATCTGTGATCACGACTCAGGAAATACATTTTACCCAAGAGAGTGGCCGTGGCCCAAATCTGGCTTGTTACTTACTTAAACTGCATACTGTGTACTACTGTGTACTACTGTGTACTATAGTACTACGTACTATTTAGAATGTACAGTTTAGTAAAAACTATGCAGTATCCCACAGCCAAAACAAATTACTTTGGTGCATTCTGGGAATTCAGAAACAAAATGACACAGGAAGAAGGAGGTGAGCAAGTGTTCGCTCTAAAAAAAAGGCAGGAGTATTTCCTTTCAGTTTTATTTTTATTTTGGGGAATATTGACCAAGGTTCGGCCCAGTAGACCCGCTTTTTTAATAGATTTATGCACCTTGTAAGCCAGCCATTTACGTATAGTTGTGGTCCTCTGTAGCTCAATTGGTAGAGCATGGCGCTTGTAACGCCAGGGTAGTGGGTTCGATCCCCGGGACCACCCATACCTAAAAATGTATGTACACATGACTGTAAGTCGCTTTGGATAAAAGCGTCTGCTAAATGGTATATTATATTATTATATGCAAATGTGACCGCGCAGTACTGCTGAAATACAAGGCAAACGCCAAATGCGCAATAGCCCACTTACTTATGTAGCCTGCAATCACGGTTCAAATACAAAACGTACATTCATTTATATTCAATTTAAGTGAAACCTGAGCTTCTCATCCTGGAGAACGAGACTGAATTAGGGACAGATCAAAATGTACTGGGGGGAAGGAGTGGTCGAAAATAGGGTTGTGAAACTTTTCTTTTTGCTTTGGGGAGGGTAGTGCGTTTTTATTGGTCACAAGGGAGGGTAGTGCGTTTTTATTGGTCACAGGGGAGGGTAGTGCGTTTTTATTGGTCACAGGGGAGGGTAGTGCGTTTTTATTGGTCACAGGGGAGGGTAGTGCGTTTTTATTGGTCACAGGGGAGGGTAGTGCGTTTTTATTGGTCACAGGGGAGGGTAGTGCGTTTTTATTGGTCACAGGGGAGGGTAGTGTGTTTTTATTGGTCACAGGGGAGGGTAGTGCGTTATTATTGGTCACAGGGGAGGGTAGTGCGTTTTTATTGGTCACAGGGGAGGGTAGTGCGTTTTTATTGGTCACAGGGAGAGGTTAGTGCGTTATTATTGGTCACAGGGAGGGTAGGTGTGTTTTATTGGTCACAGGGGAGGGTAGTGCGTTTTTATTGGTCACAGGGGAGGGTATAGTGGTGGGTTTTTATTGGTCACAGGGGAGGGTAGTGCGTTTTTTTGGTCACAGGGAGGGTAGTGCGTTTTTATTGGTCACAGGGGAGGGTAGTGCGTTTTATTGGTCACAGGGGAGGGTAGTGCGTTTTTATTGGTCACAGGGGAGGGTAGTGCGTTTTTATTGGTCACAGGGGAGGGTAGTGCGTTTTATTGGTCACAGGGGAGGGGTAGTGCGTTTTTATTGGTCACAGGGGAGGGTAGTGCGTTTTATTGGTCACAGGGGAGGGTTAGTGCGTTTTTTATTGGTCACAGGGAGGGTAGTGCGTTTTTATTGGTCACAGGGGAGGGTAGTGTGGTTTTTATTGGTCACAGGGGAGGGTAGTGCGTTTTTATTGGTCACAGGGGAGGGTAGTGCGTTTTTATTGGTCACAGGGGGGGTAGTGCGTTTTTATTGGTCACAGGGGAGGGTAGTGGTTTTATTGGTCACAGGGGAGGGTAGTGCGTTTTATTGGTCACAGGGGAGGGTAGTGCGTTTTAATTAGTCACAGGGGAGGGTAGTGTGGTTTTTATTGGTCACAGGGGAGGTAGTGGCGTTTTTATTGGTCACAGGGGAGGGTAGTGCGTTTTATTGGTCACAGGGGAGGGTATGCGTTTTATTGGTCACAGGGGAGGGTAGTGTGTTTTTATTGGTCACAGGGGAGGGTAGTGTGGTTTTATTGGTCACAGGGGAGGGTAGTGCGTTTTATTGGTCACAGGGGAGGGTAGTGCGTTTTTATTGGTCACAGGGGAGGGTAGTGCGTTTATTATTGGTCACAGGGAGGGTAGTGCGTTTTTATTGGTCACAGGGGAGGGTTAGTGGGTGTTTTTATTGGTCACAGGGGAGGGTAGTGCGTTTTATTGGTCACAGGGGAG